AAACTGTAGCACTGTGCCCAAGACTAATTTACCCTTGGGGACAATAAAGTTTATTCTATTCTATATGTCTTAACACAGGGGATCTCTAATTATATTTTATATGAATACATGTACATTCACTTTAAAATGTTGTATAACTCAAGATCTGAGCACTTCTTCCACCACTGATCTGACAGCTGTTATATTCCCATAGCTGAAGCGACATAGAGATATTGATTGATTGACTTTAATCCAAATAAAACACGATACAAAAATCGCACCTGTAAACGGGAGGGCTCTGTTTGCAATTCACAAATGTTATGTTGTTATTAAAAAATCTGCCCATTGAGCATTTCAGTGTCCCAGACCTGAGCTCCAGTGTCGGCTATACTTATCACTGCAACTGTCGGAAGTGCTGTGGGCCTTGACGCTGACACCATGCAGTCAGCCCTATTTGGACACGGCTGCAGCGAACAGCCTGTCACTTTCACCACACGCCATTCATTCAGAGTCTAACACTCAACAAATACCGCTTCACTTCTTATCTTTTTTAAAACTATCAAATCAAGTTTTTGCTACCACCCTTCCTTCAACTCCGGCGAGTCTCTGAAGTGAGCGAGCTGAACAGGCACTTTGGACACAGCAGACACACAGTCCTATAAACAGCAACACACGCTTACAGTTTTTTAGGGAGCGGCTAACTTATACGCTTTTCTTATTAATAGGCGACGGGGGCGTAATTACGCACGTACCCGGCGGTCATGGCGATGTTGTAGAAAGTGAGCCATGCCGTAGCGAGGGTGCTTATCGTTCTCTTCTTGTTGTTGTTTTCTTTCTCCTCAACCGTGCCGTCCTCCTCGCTGGACGCCATGGTACCGGGGGCAGGGTGGGCAAGTCAGGAAGGGAGCTGACAGCTGGGGCTGGTAGGGAGGGGAGCAGCAGGGTCATCCATCCATCTATCCGCCCACGGCTCCCCCCCTCTCTCGCGGGACTAAGTGCTGCAACAAGTGCGTGGCCTGCCGGTGGGCCAGAGACGGTCACTGTCAAAGTGTCTGTACCTTGTAATAGGATTCTAGTACCGCTTTACTTACGTATATTCTCCACTTCTCCTCCACTAAATTTCAAATTTAAGATGGAAAATTTGTAGCCTACATTTTACTTCACTGCATTTATCTGACTTTTTTGTAAGAAATAATGCATAGGAAACATATAAAGTCCTCCGAAAATATGATGTTTTGTTATAGATTGAACTACCCCAAAGTAGCCTAAACAAGTTATTTTCAGCAAAAATGCCAAATATTTAGAGAAATATTCATGGGGGTGGCAGAAATATATTCTGATTTAATTCTAAACAATCACATATATCAATATTTGCTTGGAAAACTCCCCAGATGAAGATATTTGAACTAAAAAAGATTACATTATTGTGGCACATTAGTTAAACATTTAATAGAAATACCCAAAAGATGGCATTAGAAATCAATAAATTGTTTTATTTAAATTTTACATACATGTAATTTTTAATTGAACTTAAGCCTCTCAGTTAATCTAACATTTGGCCATAACAGATCATTAAATTAATTTCATTCATTCAATCATTTTAATTAATAATCTAAATTAATGTGTTAAATTTGACACCAAACTGGGGTGGTCAGGCATCTTTTAGGGGGGGCATCCACCCCTATACATCTGCCTACGTTCTACAGCTAAATGTATTTGCAGTGCTAATCCTCTGGTCTGAAACCCAAGCATTAACAAGCATTATCGAATAATTTAGCTACAAAATGCAAATTTTTGTTTGTTTGAAATTGAAGGGGGCTATCATAGTTATTAGTTTCTCAGTGGGTCTGTTTGTTATGAGCAAAAAACAGCTTGAGTTGTCAGCAACTGGTCATAACTGACAGGAAACGACACACAATGGGAATCTAAATATTATTTAATTTATTTATTCTAAACTGCTGATGACGTTTCCTCTTGAGTTTGAAACCTTGAGTCTGCACTCTATGAATCTGAGGGAGTGGATAGTCTTTAGGGTCCCTTCTATTCAGGGCTTGTCAAACTGACAGCAGTTCCTCTATTGTAGGAAAATCACCACTTTCCTTTTGCAGTCTGGTGCTTTCTATCAAAACCACCAATTCCACAACTGCTCTGGCCATAAATACATTTTCTTTGTCTTGAGTCTTGAGATACACCGGCATTCGGTCTCTTGTTTGGAGTAGTTGTATTCCTGGTATTGCGGTAACAGGCACATGGGATAGTGTCAACATACGTACAGGTATTAATCTGTACTGGTCTGGCTCTCGTGGAGGCACTGCCGGAGAAACTGCATCAATGCAGAGTCTAAAATTAGCTCTCCTAATGACACCCGGTAGAAATGTGTGTAAACTAAAGACAGCACCAAATATAGTGCAGACTACCTAATCCTGTTTCAGTTACTTGAGCAGGTGTCTGAGGAAAAGCGGCAGAACAATGTCCAGCTGTTTCAGGTTTCTCTAAACAATAAAATCAACAGAAGGATTTAATGATTGGCTTCAACACACAAGGTCATGGCATGAAAGATGCCTATTGTGGATGTTATTTGTACTAAAGAGGCTAGTAACTCATCATTTTAGCCATAGACTGAGGGCCTGCAGTTGGACTCACTGTCATTAAGACATTAGCTGATATGTTGAAGGAGTGTTTTTAAACACTGATATGTTTCTGGTATTTGTTATATCATTGTGCAGCTGCAGACATGTTACAGTTATCACATTTTGCCACTAGATGGTGATGTATAAATATGAGAGGAGCCACAAGTGCCTTTAGCTTTTCTGTGGCACCATGTGTTTTTGCTTTAGAGCCACTTGCCCTTGGATGTTGCTTTTACTGTGGGTGTTCTCAAATCCACTTGTCTTGGAGACTGATCAGGTTGAATACAGAGTACATAATGTAAAGCTACACGCCAGGTCCTCTGTTCTCTGCGACTGATGGGATTTGAGCTTCAAAAGCACTGGTTGAAGTACAGTTTTTAAGACAAAATCATGCCTGCAGTGTACACTTATCCTTCAGGGTGCAGAGTTACACAAACTTTGTTTGTATCCTGAATATAAAGAGAGTAAAGGGACAGTCACATCCCCGTCACACCAAGGTACACAATGCCTAGTGCAGTGTAAGCAGTTGGGTGAGCAGAGAGCCAGGGCTGTGGTGTGTGGAAAATGCTAGTGGAGGCAGACAATGCACTGGTCCGAGGCCTGACCAGCCCTCAGAGGGACAGGGGTCGCCTCACTGCGACAACAGCCCCCGTCTCCCTCCCTTCTTTTTCTTTTTTTGAGCTACCACAGCATGGGCTCAGGGAGGACGCTGAAGTTCGCCCTGTGCGAGGTGCTGCAGTTTGCGGGCCTGTGTGTGCCACTTTTTATCGTCATGCAGAGGTTCGCCGTCATCGTAGCGAAGGTCAAAACCTCGTCACAGCCCCCCGGCGACGGGAGCACGGCCTACTGGTTGATCGTGGCCACCTCCATTGCCTATGTGACCTCCACTGCCCTGCTGGTCTGGGTACCCCTGAAGTACATGGTCTTCATGAAGAAGAAATTCCTCATTGGGAGGAAAAAGTGGTGAGTTTCCCCTGCCTTTGCTCTGATGCCAGGGGGAGCCAGAAATGGAGGTCCAGCTCTGTTAGCTGTGTGTGGTCAGCAGCTTGGTGCAGCACTGACCTGAGACCTGACCAGCTGGTTTGAGTCTGAACAGGACTGTAGCTGGTTTGGACTGCACTTGGCTTGTGAATAACATGAGTTAGCAAGTCCTGCAACTGCCTTTGTCTTCCTTCCTTACTTTTTTGTCTTTCCTTTCCTTTGTCTTTGTATCAGGAGGCCTGTGGCCCTCGTATATGTGATCCTGTCAACATTACCCTGCTTTGCCTTCCTCATCGCCAGCTCTGAGGTACAACATGCTGTGGATTGTGTGGTTTTTGTTTCATTTGTTTCATTACATCAATATATTTACTCTGATCCTGAACTTTGGCCGTCGTTGCCATATTTGAGTCAATCTGTAATTGTAGTTCCTTTGTAGTTGTTTTGGAGGATTGTGTTTATCATTCACAGAAGTTCTTTGGAACTTAAAAATAATACTTAAAATACTCACTATCACTTTACATTTGGGACCAAAATGATAAAAAAAAAGCTTTGTAGGTGAGTGTAATCGGTGTGAGGACTGGAATAAAGGTGATGATTTGTGAGGAATCCTTTGGTTCTCACGGGAGGAATATCCAGCCTTATGGATAAGGAGCTACTGATAAGCAGCTTGGTTCCTCTTCCTGTCCAAGCTGCCTTTGTCAAATCATCTGTCCATGAGGCACATTTTCACTTCCTTACTGGCTGTAGCCCAGATCCTATTTGCTGTTTTGGCCCTTTCTAGAGCCCTAGTTGACCTTTTGGCCCTTGCTTATCTGGTGTCTTTTACATAAGAGCCATAAATTCTGCTAAGATGACCAACTTGCCTGCTTTGTTCTGTGTCCTGTTGGTATGAAGTCCTGACTCAGGCACATATCAGAGCTGCAAGTGATTTAGCCCACAGACTCAGTACAAGAGGGCAGAAATGTATATGTAAATGCTTGGTGCAAAGTTCTGTTATTGTTAAGGTAAACTGATGGGATCTATATTGAGTTAAGTTTTTAAGAATTAAGTAATTGCACTAATGATTTTCTGGCTGTTTGCCCAGGTTCAGATAAATAACAACATGAAAAATGACACATTCACGGAGCTCCCTGTATCGCTAGTCCTCTTCTCTCTCATCTGTATTGACGTTGTGGAGAGGATACGCCACTGCAGACTGACCGGCCAGGGTGAGCACTGCACACATTATACAAATCACTCTCTGAGTGCTATAGATCCTGAACTTTCCTCTGCCAACTTCTATAGTGATACCAGACCGCCTTTACATTGCGGGAACTCTGAGGCAACAAATACAGCTAACAGCTCTTTATATCGTATATCCAGAACAATTTAGTGAACAATTTTGAGCTTCTTATTCTTTGGCTCTGTGCCTGCAGTTAAAAAATATTGGCGCAACTGAGGAAATGAGCAGGACATTTTTTAGCCACTTCTTGTAACACAGTGCTGAATTGACAAAACTTCAGCAATGTTTTCATAAAGGGAGGCATGGAGATGGTTTAAGTATAACACTGCTCATGTAGGATTCTTTGGAAAACCCGAAGCCCTTTGAGACTTTTTATTGACACTGGTGGTATGTAAAGTGCTATTTGGGGTACTTTAACTTGAGTTATATCCATTTCATCTATGTATGGTATGTAAAGTGCTATTTGGGGTACTTTAACTTGAGTTATATCCATTTCATCTAATGTTATACTTTACTCCACTACATCCCAGAGGCACATAGTGTACTTTATTTTAGTTGCTATTTCTTAATTTTCACACCTTTCCTGACCAGTAAAACCCATATGTCCCCAAAATTGGTAGTTTTGAGTGTTAATGTTTGTGATAAACTGAAGTAAGAAGTGTTCCTTTATGGGTTGAGAAACATCTTCTTAAGCTAAACTATTTAAACCCCCTCTTGAAATTAGCTAAAAAATACATTGTCGTTGCTAAAAACAGGTTGGCTTTTGAGAAAAGTTGACTTTTTAGAGATAGGTGTGATCTTATAGAATATGATGCATTGCTATAGATTAAATGTACAGTATATATAGTAGTTAAATTAGCACAACCTTAAACATCTAGAGCAGTAAAATGCAACATAGACATTGGTGCACCATTTACATTGATCCAAAAACATCCTATATAATAGTGAAACACTGACTAATTTCAGACATAACCTTGTTTCCCTTTCCTCTCCCCAGCTAATGACATGGAGAGAGATGCTGACATCCCCTCCACTGTCCTCACACATGTGGAACAGGTAACACCAGTAACACCTGTCACTCCAGCTGTGCCGGGGCCAGCTGTGCCCAGGCAAGCTGTGCCAACTCCCACGCCACCGGGAGCGACCCAGCTCAATGACAGGAACCAGAATGGAGCAGGGGCTCAACCAGAGACCAACGGGACAGTCCCAGGGATTCCAGGTAATCCCGGGAGACCATTTAGCATCTCTGGATTGAGCTCACGATCAGCGAGCACCACAGCGTACCGCATACCTCCGTATGCCTACACGGGTCCACTGAGGTTCCTGTGTGCCAGCGACGCCCGAGCAGATGTGTTTGTGGACAGCTTTATGTTCTGGATGGATACAGTGGAGATGGTGAGGGTGGCAGGACACCCCCTGGTTTACTACTCAGGCTGGGTGTTTCCCATCTATATCTTCAGCTACCTGTCTTGCCTGCGTGTGGTGGTCATGCCCCACAGCCCCCTGCTTTCCGCACTAGGAGTGGCCGTGCAGGACTTACCCTTCTTCTTTGTGCGTGTTGGCCTCATTGCCTTTTTTGGGTTTGTCACACCCATCCTCTATATGATGAAGAACCTGTTGGTCTGCCTGGCCTTTGTCTACTTCAACTTCATGACCAAGCTGAGGGTCTTCAACACGGAGAGGATGTTCTTTTGAGATGAAGACGGTGAAACATTAAAACATATAGTAGGAGTAACAGGTAGGATACTAGGGTTCAGGAGGTGGTTGCACTAGCTCTTCACAAGTTCAAACTTTACCTACTTCTAACTCAAGTGTTTATTGAGTGGGGATTCACTAAATTTAAACAGGTTCTACCAGACAATGTCATTTTTACATAGAGATTTGCTATTAAAAGAAAAAGTGTGTTACTATTATGCACTGTTGGCTGACATAACTAATGTTACATAAGATGGCACTTAATAAAAGGCTGTTTAACATTATGTCAACTGGGAAGATTTTAAATGAACACAATATTCCTCAAATTACAAAATATTGTGCTCATAACATCAGACTAAATAGCTAAATAGTGTCAGTTAGGTTAGCATAACCAGATGTTTTCCCACTCTTTCTGAAATGCACTAATGGGCTAGGGGAGAGCGGGTTGGTTGTCACATTCTCAGAGGTCACCCACAAGGTCATTTACAGGAGTAAAGGCCTTTGCACACCAAGTATGTATTTTTTTGTTCGAAACTGTTATACGACCTCACATTGTGTCAATCATCATCCAAAACCGGTTCGATTATCTGCATTGTTTCGCACCAGTCATATGAGAAAAGCACACAGACAGAGAGGAGGGCACAGCTCTGCCTCTTGTAGCACTAAATGCAAGATACAGGCAGAGAGTGGCGACAGCCTGCGGACGAACATCCAGTGGAGAGAAGCAGGGGAGAAACTCTCCTTGTTCTTGACACCTTAGACCCAATATTTATTTTTTCTTTTAATACTTTCAAGTGAAAGGACCACAAAATTATCCTCACTGCACGATGACTCCGTCTCATATTGTGAATTATGCAACAAATAGACTAATAAATTGCAGACTCAGTGTGCAAGGTTTCTATGTGTAATAATTTGAATTGTATGGCAAATCAAAAAACTAATTCGGACTTGGGGCCTTAAGGGTCGATAGAGACCAAATCGGGCACCATAATGCGGTGGCCAATCTGGTGATCAGACCAGTCAAACTGCTCCACAGAGAAACGGATGCTATCCAAACTGAGTTCATGGACCAAACTATCATACCCTCCCAGTTTTGTTTACTTCCCAAAAATCTTCAAAAAGTGTGTGAAACATATTTTTCTCCATATATAAATAAACAAAGAAGCATTCACAAAGGATATGTAGATAAGGTTAATATATAATTTCAGTCCGGTCCAACCCGGTTTAGCAATCATTAACTAGCTCATTGAAAGAACTTTAGGCATAAAGGATTTAAGAAAAGCCAGTGCAACCAAACCAAAGTATGAATTTGTGCAACACAAAAGAGAGATTTTATTAAAATGCATGATGGTACTTTTCACAGGCCAAAAGGGAGCTCTTAGGCAATGTTTTCCCATACACGACGTTATGTCAAATGACTGTTGTGTTGTGTACTATTTACCTTTATGTTCAAATATACTTTTTTACCCCTCAACAACCCCCTCACCCTCACCAAGCATGGCACTTTGGGAATGTACCTGTAATGTCAAAGATTTTTTTGGCAGATTTTTTTCTACCATCATAAAGTGCAGTGAATATGTAAAAAGCATAAATCCATGTTGTTTATATTAGGTTTTTCTTTGCTAAGTTATATTTACAAAAGAAAAACAAAGTGTGAGTTTGTATCATTGATACATATATTTTGGTAAGATTAATAAAGAAAATCATATAAATACATGTTTTAATGTCTCACTAGTGTGATTTCTCATGTATGCAAAATGTTTTTTGGCCTCCATTCAAACCCTTTACACTGGAATTCATCCCATATCTTCCAAATCACTCCCCAAGAGAACAGGTTTCCCGTCATTATTGAGCAAAAACATGCTCATCACATCCCTTCCTGTAATGGTCCAGAGCAAAATAGCAATGACAGAGGACACAATGTCACTACACATGTGCAATCTGATCTAAAAACACATACTACTTCTGTGAAGATTAACATATTCAGGGATAAAATGGCAGAAAAAAAGTCATCAATTATAATAATAAGGTGAAAAAAGAAATATATATTACTGGGATGTTTGCATGAAATTGTACTTCATCACAGCATTGCAGCACGTACTATTGTAAGAAAATCACTTTGCTAAGTTTATTTATTCACTTATAGCATATTGTCACAAATCTGTTTTTCCTTAACCCACCAGAACCCAGATATTTAATCTTGTGTGATTAGTATTCGGACTGATTCATGATAATGTGCTTTGCTCAACTATTAAATGCTTGCATTTTGCACCATTCTTCTGTACATGCTACAACTCACTTATTCTGTTGATATTCTCTGTGTATACATGTTCTCCTCTTTTCTAAGCTGCACTAATCACTATGTTTTTATATTGACAATGGATCAAATGACTATGTGTAATGTGAAAGATGTCGCTCATAGGGATGAACCCACAGGGAATCTTTACCTACTTTTGCACTTCAGTTTTACCCTTTCAGCCTATTTTGGATTAATGTTTTGGTTTCCTGGCCCACCGTTATCAACCCTGTTTCAAGCATTTAGCAGCTAAAAAACCCAGATAGTTCCTTCAGGAGTTGGTGGAAACCAAAACAAAGGTAAAAGGAGAGCGAATGTTGAATTTACATTGATAAGGCTGGCCAGAAACACGACTCTGTGTTGATAATGTTTCTCCTTATCTGCTTCATGCGTAAAGATAATTGTTTTTTTAACAAAAGAATCAACTTTAAAAGCTATGTTTTATCTTATCTTATTTGGATGACAATGATGATGATGCTGAAAATTGAGAGGCGTAACGAATGCGTTCACAGTCAATGTGACTTAGATACTACTTGAAATGTTGGTTTTCCCTTTTAAAATATGATTAATTTTACATGATTAATTAGAAAGAAAGCACTCAGTGAGCAATTTGCACATTAAATTTACATCATGAATTTACAAACACTTAAATTATGTCAATAACAGGTTAAATGTTCATGGGGACATTATGAAGCCTGAAAACTTGGTCCAGCACACAGTATTTATCACCTTTGAATCTGCATGCTTTTGTAAACTTTTTGTTTTTTAAAAACAGGGCTTTAATCAAGGATGAAGAGAGCACATTTTTAAACCAGACTTGTGACCACAGAATCATGGGAATTTAATGCCACTATGTGTAGGATTTGAACATTTCTGACTCCTAGTGGCAGAATGAAAACAAACACTGACCAGTTCAACTGGACCCAGTAACTGCAGCCTCATGACTCTCATTCACAGAGACCAGAGACAAGGTAAGTCTAAGGTTTCAGTCATGATATTTTCATTAGAATATACTGTACAACTTGTAGTGATAGATTCTCCAACATCTTCATCTTTAATTCAGCATTGTCCATACAAAGGTATGTATTTCACAGGCACATGCCCAACTTGTCTGCATCCCGTTAGTCTGAGCACCATCGCTGGGCATCCCTGCAGTATGAGGCTGAAGTGGTCAAATCTCTACTCACTTCCTCCAATAGGAAGCAGGATTTCCTCCAGCCCTCTCTTTCTACTGACTTGTGTCATCAATGCACTCCTCACCCAGACCTCCTGGTATCCCACGAAAACCCCTAAATCAGCAAGTCCTGCAAACCTCATTTTATCTTCATTTACTTAGTAATGATGAAACTGGCACATTCCTGACCAGATGTGTGGTTTTCTTAAATCTTCTGACACCTGAAACTTCCTCAAAGGCAGTCTGAATGACACCTGCTGTCTGGGTTCATTATCCAGGCACAGATTTAGTACAGACTGAAGCACTATTTATAATAGATCAAAAATCTCAGATAAAGGCAACATTGAAGCCTGCTTGGATAAATTAATCCTCAAAATTCATCATCCGGTTCCTCTCTTGTCTTTTGATTTATTAAAAATAGAATTATTTCCCTACCCTGACAGTATGAGTTTTCTTGACGCTATCATAAGTGACTTTCACTTTCTTGCTTAATAGTGAAATTATATTGCTCGCTTCCCACTTCCTGCCTTCCTCAGTCTCCTCTGCCAAAAAAATCTGTGGAAATTGCTGTGGTTTGACCAACCTCAGCTACCCATGTGACAGGATATCCATCAGTGTGATTAAGGGGGGGAAGCACCATGTCTCTGTGTCATTGTTGCTCTATGTCACACACCTTAGCACACACCAGACCCTTTCTCTCATGACTGGAAAACTTTCCTACAACTTTGTCCACCACTGAGTGCAAACCACACGATAAGGATAATGTTACTCTGTTCAAACCTTGCTGTGGTCCTCTGTCTCCTGCACGTCATCTGCATTACCGCCGACATAGGTACGTACACCTGACACATTTTTTGGTCTTTTCAACTCGGCTGTGAGTAAAATTAGGAGAATAGTCATTTAGTAAATTAAAATTGTCAAATGAGATGTGCTACTGAAGCTGTTCTGTTCTGCTCCAGACAGTGGCTCTTTCCTGATCTACAATGAGAACCACAACAAGTGCATAAAGGCGGAGAGTGCCACCTCGATGACGGTGGCCCCTTGCGATCCTCATGCCAAAGAGCAGCAGTTTCGTTGGGCCTCCGAATCGCGCATCCTCAGTCTGTCCCTCAAGCTCTGCATGGGGGCCACAGAGATTAAAGACTGGGTGAAAGTGGTCCTCTATGAATGTGATGAGGATAATGTCCTCCAACACTGGCAGTGCAAGAATGAGACCCTCTTTGGCCTAAAAGACCAGGACCTGCACTTAAACTGGGGCAACCGCAATGAGAGGAACATAATGATCTACAAAGGCTCAGGGCTCTGGAGTCGCTGGAGGACATTTGGCTCCCGGGGTGACCTTTGTTCAAAGGGGTTTCAAGGTAGGAATTGTGGGCACATGATTGATTGAAAGGGCCAAGAGCGTATAACAAAGAATCTAAACTGGAGCTGCAGTTTTTTAGAAAGGTTGTTGTAAAAGGGTGTTTCAGAAAGTCCTGCAATGGTGTTTGTTGAGGTGAAGATTGTTCTAAATAAAGTAAAGTACTATAA